ATCTAATCACTTTGAGGTCTCATCAAGATCTACCTACCTACCAAGTATCAAGACAATCCATCAAGGCCTTCTTAAGTTATCGTGTTGACAGACAGACACACACACACACACATACACGAACGCCCCTGAAAACATAACCTTCTTGGCGAAGGTAAAAATGTGGATAGTGTCAGCTAGCTGGACCCCAACAGTGGCATGCAAATTAATTTTTCTAAACAAGAATATCCATTCTCTGGAGGTATTATATAAAGCCAAATTGTACTGTGACAGGGCTTGAAATGCTTTGCTTTAGAATCTTTCTGCTAGTATTCATTCATAATACTATATTGTTTTGGCTTGCCAAATTACAATACCGGTATCTTTCTGCAATATAATTTATAAATAATTCCTCAGCAAATTTCAAACTGCAGGAAAGTATTTTGAGCCTGCAAACCCAGACTCCATGGTGTCTGGCCTTTACTGTCTACACACGTGCCAAGTTGAAGTGCATGACGTCATTACATAATTGCTCCCTTTGTACAGCGTTGTTGAGAGGTTTCCCAATGGGGCATTGTCAGCCATTGTTTTTGCAATGACTTTGTCCCTGACTGGTACAGTAATCATCCATCTGGCTATCTTTGGAAATACAAAGTGAAGACTGACGCGGTCCTTGGTCCTTACTGATAAGCACCTTGGAAAAAAAATGGCGGCATGTACTGTTTACAGTTTCTTTGCCAAGATGAATTGTCCCAAAATTTACAGAGCCAATTCTTTTTCATCATAACACGCCAACTGATTTTCAAGTCTACAGACTTTACATGTTCATATCTATAATGATTCCCATTTCCTTTAATTTACAAAAACAGACAAATACATTGTAGTTTTTTGTACTAAGGCTAAAAATATTTCCTATTAAGAAATAATGTTCAGTATGCAATAGCATACCAGCTCAGGTATCGAAATGTACCTATTATCAATATTGCACAGCACAACTGAACAGCGAGTCCGAATGACCCCGAAAACATTCATCAAAGTCCTCAAGGGGAGACCTGAGTCACAAGATGAGTCATGTTGGGCCTACTTCCTTTTTCAGCTGACAGAAGCATGTGGTGGCTTCCTCTTCTTTTGTTATAGAGTTTTTGGAGAGATGCCAGTCTTTGTAAAAAAAGGAGGATGTTTGGTTGGAAACTGTTTTGCATATTAATACCTCCGGTCTGATGCCGACTGAACTACATTGTAGAAGACTGGGAAGGTTCCTGTTTCTTTGTTCCTATTTATCGTTAAAGGTATAAAAAGTGACTTGATATCATTTATTATTTAATGACAGTATTTGAAATTAGATTTGCATAGCACCAAATTGCTTCCAGACTATAAATTTATAATTTCTTATTGCGTAAAACAATTGAGATTTGCATATGCTTCAGGTGTACATTACAAACAAACAAACCTATTTTGGGGGACTACACCTTTTTATAAAGTTAAAGAACCTCTTTAAAAATATATATATATAAATTTGTTAATTCTTCAAACCCAAAACACACACATAGTGACTACATGGAATGTTGGTGTTAGCATGTGAAGGACATTTTTCACATTATTTTGTCAACAGAAGAATATAAATCAAGGTTCTTTTGAACTACAAGCATGTCAGCTTCAAAACAACTGTGAAATGCTGAATAAATACAGGTGGAAGGAACACCTAAGGGCAGCTTCCTGTCTTTGTGATCTATAGGGGGGATGGTGGAGCTCTAGGGTGCAACATCAGGTCAAAGAAATAGTTTACAAATTACACACTACACATACATGTGACTTATTTGGGCCATCACACAAGCTATACATGTATGTAGTAGATTTGTACCAATACTGTCAACCCCTATACAAGTCACCTGCCATACAGTGGGAACATATAAAGAGTGTCTGCTGGTATCTAATATACAGTGCTGACTATAAAAGAAAAGTGAGTAAAATATGTAACAAGCTGACTACCACTGCAGCTTACAAGTGTGCATTTACTCAATAATTCCAGTCTTTATATAAAACTCATCTTTTACTGCTATTGACATATGCTTCACAGAAGAAGACATTCACAGAACACAAAAATGTCACAGGTCAAAAAGTTACTAACAGGAAATGGACAAAATGCAGGAAGCTTACCAAGAACTGTTGTGATGGACTAGTTATGGTGGAATGCCTTCTGGCTAGTAACTTTACCTATCCCTCCTCCCAAAAAAAATGTGACAGCAACTCAGCCACATTCCAACACAATGTTTAGGAATACTAACTGTATTAATGATCATATGATGGAAGAAAAGAAGCATAAAAAGTACATATGTACCTCCTTTTAATGGTACCAGCAAGGACAAGGGGATTTATCATTCACAAATATGCAAACTATTTGTGACATTTAGGAATGTGATTATCTAATTACCTGTGGGGTATTATTTCCATTTTACACTGCAAATGATGTAGAAAAAATTGACACATAGTGTGATGCTAATTTTCACACAAGTTTTATGGAAATGACCAATTACACCTTCATTATTGTCATTTATGGCCAAGAATTATGTTGAGGGAAACACCTGTAGTAATAAAACATCTCAGGTAGAACAGGTGTAACATTATATATGAACAAGAGCCTACTGAATTTGATAATGTGGAGATAGAAAATTAGAGTGGTGGGACTATCCGACAAGTGCTTGGCAGAGATCACCAAGCATTCCAACAAAGGCAGCACAAATGCCTTTTGTTCCTTATCCTGGGCCTTTTTACCACTTACAGGTTAATCACCTGTAAAGAGCGTTACTTGACACTCGCTTTTACAGGTAAGAATACAGAGGAGATGTTTGCAAAACTGCTGAGAATTGTTTGGACTCCAGTGCTGGTGCCCTGATGCAGAATTCCTTTTCCTGCCAGGATGGGGAAGATAGTGCTTAGGCCACACCAAGTAAATTTTATGGATGACGTCCGTGCACACATTGATTTTGGTCTGTTCCTAGAAAAACTGTAACTATGACCAAAGAGTCACGACAGTGCCGCAAATAGGTTTGTACGGACCAAAGCTTATGAAGCATCAAGCAAGACTTCCATTAGGAATTCAGTTTGGTACATGCTGCCACATTTGAAGAAGCTTGCTGACCGCTCCATCTATCTCCCCAAAGCACAGGACGACAACTGCTGTTCCACCTGATATATTGCTGTTTTGATGATGAATAAAAGACTTCTTGCTTGTTACACTGTGTCACCTCATTCGATTTGTGTCCTAACATTTGTCGTCTCTTAGTATATTTCTAATCTAGGCATCTTGTTTTTTAGGGGCCTTCTTGTTTTTTTTTCGCCCTCTCGCATTAGATTTAGAGTCTCCAAAGGACGTCATCCATAAAATTTACTTGGTGTGGCCTTAAATCCCTGAGGATGATGATGACAGGATGCTGCTTACCATAGACAATGTTTGCATCCAAAGAAGGAATTTTGCCTGGTCTCATTGATAGTGGCTTATCTGGGAAATAGATCCATATCAAACTATGCGTATGTCCATCCTTATCCCTTAACATTTCAATGATAATGTGGAATGGAAGATAAAAAGGAGTTATGCCGGAAATTCTGCTTAGACAACTGACAGCAGATGTAGGAGAGATAACAGTTTATGCATGGTAATTGACCATTGTCCACATAATTTTATGGTAAAGAAGTTTGGTTGAATCTGGAAGTTGTCTTAACATCCTGAGGGAAAAGTCAACATACATTAAACTACAATTACACTGTGCCTGAAAAAATATCCTTCAATTGTAACATTATAAATATATATACACCTCATGATGTGTATAATTATGTACTTAGCCTTTATTGCATTTTTTACGACATACTATGACGTTTGAAAGCAACAGTTAATAAGTAACTCTGAAAGCTATTTTTTAACATGTAAAATTGAGGAGGTTCTTGTTGACCTCTTAACTATGTCAAAGCTTTCTTATATGGTAAATGGGGCAACTGTTTTTTGAAAAGGAATGACGTAGACAGTTGTGAATGAAGAACGGCAAATTTAGCAGAACAAAGGCCATCACTAGAACTTGAGTTGGCAGTCCACAGAAAAGGTTTAGCGACTGGTTAAACAGCATACCACACAACAAAGCACCTTTCAGAAACCTTCTTTTAACCATTCACCGGACTTATTCTTCACAAGTCAGTAGAGTAAATATGGGGCCGTTGAAAAGCAGTTACGTCACCATTGGACTAGTTTTTCACGTGCTAAGACAACATTATAAAAATGCACTGTCTGAAAATAGGTCCATCCAAGAGACCATTTTCTATTAATGCAGACCAGTGGTATCATGCATGGTAAATGACATTACCCTAAAATAGAGCAATAGCCTAAAAGCAGCAGAACAAGACATGTTGTAAAACAGGTGTGTGATGTCAAAAACTAAGATCCAGTAAAAGTCTACATTTTTGGGCATGAAAATGCAACTACTATTACCTACTTCTCAACAGCAAAACCCTTGTGCCTCTGTCACCATGGATTACATAAGAACATGTCATTGGGGCATTTAATTGCTTGGGACACGTTTGGGGGACGGAGGTGGTGCTCACACCCCACATCCCACCCATTTTAGGAACATCGTACAGAAATATAGGCCACACTATGATATGCAACTCACATACCGTGATTTCAATTTCATTGCCAGGCCACCTCGCTATTTTATATTCCGATCGGAGACAAAGAACAGTCAAATACAACACATTTCTTCACCGCCTTTTGAAAATGTATGCCAAACAATTATGGGATTGAACCGATTGGAATGTAATCATTATGGATATGTGAAATTCAATGACATCACACAAAGCCCCTTGCATAGTCTACACTGCCACATGCTGACACAATACACCTGTCCTTTGCAATGTTCTGCGCCCTTAATCAAAGCATGTCTGCGACCAGAAAAGGTTTTAAAATTGTCTTGTTCATTCCTTAGCTCTACTAGCTTGCTGACTTTTCAAAGAGGAAAGAAGGGAATAATGTTAGCTACCTGGAATGGGGAAGTATTGTAGCGACACTGTGCTCTTGTCTCGGCTGTGTTCCTCTTCACTGCTTGGAGCTAGACTGACAAAGCCACTGTTTTATGGAGTAGAAAATGACGTACACCCATGCCCATATTTGGAAGCTCCCCTGTATGGACCAATCAGAGCCCAGAGGTGCCAAAGACAAATTGTCTGGGTAAAAGGAAAAGGGTGGGGATGGGGAGCATGGTGCTATCGGAAAAGAATTTTTGTCTGCAGCTGGTGTAGTATTGAATTTCCCCGCAGAAATTTGGCCGTATCTTCTATAGGATTTCCTGAGTCAATGATTGGGTTACACTTCCTAGTTGTGCAACTGGCAATTAATAAGTCACTGTAGTTACATATTGCAGACAGCTAGCTGAGCATTGACAAACAGCATAATCCCACAACAGTCACAATACAACATATATTCAAAATAACAGTTTTAAAAATTTGTCAAATATGAATGCATCTGCAGACTATGACATCACTGTTGTTTTAAGTATAGGCCAAAGTGTTTCAGTCTAAAAATAAGGACATTTTGCATATAATATTCTAGTAAAACGTGTTATACGAGATCCCAGCTAACATGAATATATGTAGCATTTGTATGTATGAGTCACAGCAAGACATCACACAAAAGGATTTGTTGCTATGGTACCAAAAAGCCCCTTTATGGCAAGAATTTTATTCACACTTACTCATACTGAATCATTCAACAACACATGAGCCATTTTCCCAACAATGAGACATAACTGTTGGCAGAATACATGAAATGTTTGTCCCAGATGTGGTTATTCAAAGCACTTGGTGTACATGTGTGTCATTACATGTAATCCTGCTGCTTTATCACTGGGGCTGTTTTAATGAAAACCTTGTTTTACTTTTTAATTAAAAAAAATAATAAGAGGCTAGATACAATATATTTTGATAGGTTCTACCTATGGTTTACATATAGTTGTCCATGTAGCAGATTTTCCACCCTGTATGTAAAAAAAACAGAAGGGGCCCTTGCTACATGTACAAATTAAAATTACATTAAATTGCAAAAAACTTTAATCATAAAAACTTATGACAGTCTATAACTATAACTTATAAGGATGACTTCATCTGAATACAGTTTTATTACTTTTAATTACTCATTGGCTGTATCAACCTGTAAAGTCTTAAACATTATACTGTATTCAATTTGCATGGCCTATTATATGAGGGCCTGCATGGGGGGTCCCAACAACGCTCTACGCTAAATTTGAGACCCGGCTACGTATTACGCCGAATTCAAGAAACCTCCCCCATTACGCTTTACGATAAATTCCGGGTAGCTACAACGCATAACGTAAATTAAAATGGCGAATTACGATCTACACAAAATGCACCTCTTACGCTCTACCTTGAATTAGAGCAGTCCGTCCACACTCTACGTAGAATTAAAACGGCTGATTACACTCTATGGAAAAGGGCATGCAGGCCCCCTTACATGTAGCCAAGTAAGGAAAAATATAGTTTTAAAAAAAATTAACAATTTGTTTTTCCAATTCAGAAATGGATATAAACAGAAAACGGATAAATAAACTGATGTTGCCTTTTTGGCAATCTATATCAGCCAATGGTATGAGACATCACAATCATCGCATTTCAATTTGATGGAAACAATTCTCCTGGCAGCTGCATTACCATATTACTCATGCCATGGTCAATTATACAGTCATGTGGCCAAACATGAAGGTCTTTTCCTGCTGAGCAGGAGCACAGTTGTCAGGAAGACAAGTCATGTTAGTCACACAACTTATCGTGTATGTGTGTGTCAGAGCTCTGCGATGTCCTGTAACACGTAGATTGATAGATGGATAGATAGATAGGGGGTATATCATATTACGCATATATGAGTCTGTACGCTGTGTCTAAAGGGTTTTTGTTTTGTTACTTCACTCTCCGAAAATAGTATTCCAAGGGAGTAACGTCTGTTTCTGACCTTTTTTAAATTTGCCATCTCGGAATATTGTTTTTGCTCAGTTTCCTCTTCGCCAAACACAAAAGGTCAATGACCTGAACCAGCCGGATGCTACCATGGTCACTAGTGTTATATCATGTTGCAATTTTATAGCAGGAGGGAAATAGACTCCTGTCACCATACTAGTATATGAGTGATTTTTTCAAGCGTTGCGTAGCGAAAATCCGGATGGTACCCAGGCTACTGCTAAGTATCATACAGTGACATATTACCATCCCTTAGGATGGCTATAATAGAAAAAGATAGGAGAGTCCAAACGATGGCCCTTCCCTCCTAATCTGGTCAGCCCCTTTCCTCCATTTCATACCGGAAATTGCAAAATTTATTCTTTACAAACTTCTCTGGACAGACATTGCCCTGAAAGGAAAATATTGCCATAGTCTGCCACGCCATTTTCTGTCCAGTTGGGATCAATGGATTCAGAAAACTGGGCAGCTGCATAAGAATATGATAGGATGGACCCCCATGAAAGGGTTATAGGCACTGCATTATGCATGAAATGAGGCAAATTTAAATCATAAGTAACATCATTATAATAGCCTTGATTATCATTCATACATGTGCTAGGGTATTTCGTCTTCTACCATGCCCGTAGCCAGGGGGGGTTCGGGCGGTTCGGAAGAACCCCCCCACAAGGCTCAAAGGTCCACTTTTTGGTCCACTTTTAATGTAAAGGTCCACTTTTTGGTCCACATTTTCTGTAAAGGTCCATTTTTTGGTCCACATTTTATGTAAAGGTCCAAGATTTTTCTTGAAAAGATGGACTGGAATCGTAGAAAAACTGCTGTCTTTGTCATTGAATAAAAATTTATCTCTGATTTTCTCTTGGAAATCCTCTCAAAAATGCACGAAATGCCATTTTAGAAGGTTCATTTTTCAAAATTTTCCGGGGGAGCATGCCCCCGGACCCCCCTACGGCGCTCAAGGTCCCCTCAAGCAGTGGGAAGAACCCCCCCATTCAAAATCCTGGCTACGGGCATGTCTACCTTTACCAAAATTCAATAATGATTAAGATACTGTGTAGTATCTAAAGGGTTTTACACTCGTTGACCAGTGACTAAAGCCCCCTAAACTAAAGGGCATACACATGGGAGTGGTTTTAAAAACATGGGATACCCATCCCCACCTAAATCCCTAAATCTATGTTAAAGACTTACCCAAAGAAATCACTGCGAAACTGGTGATTTTAGCACCTACGTCACCAGCAATGAGTCTTCCTAGAGCCCCTTAAAGGTAGGCCTTGTGTTAAAAGTAATTTCCTGACGTTAGAGGAAACGAAGACTGAATGGTACAAGCAGCTCTTAAATTTTAAACATTTTCGCGGGAAAAACGCATGGAATCATGACGTCACCTGGCCTCATGGAAGTCACGTGACTTCCCTGCGCTTCCTCCGAACTCGTCCTTTGGCGAACGAACTGCCCGGTTTTACCAGAAAATTCAAAGACGTTCTCATCTCGAAGAAACTTCGCTCCACTCTACAGAGTCTAGGACAAAAGGAGATTTGCATAATTCTAAAAATACTAAATAATAGAGCACAATAAATTTGCATGATAATGAACAAACAGCCCTAAAATGGATACAGCTAAGCCTAGCGAGCAAGCCTGATTAGCATCATCACACTATTCAGGGATACCATATATCCGTCCGCATAATTTGATTTTTTCCTCAATATTGAAGAATTAAGGGCAGTTTTCTGGAATTTTTGCATCAGTAACAACTACGTATTGGTATATACAAATGCTGAAATCAAATTCTTATGGATAATCACCCGGAAAGGCCCTATTTTGCAGTAGTAGAACTACTTTTCGCGCGGACTAATTTATGCATAGCAGCGAAAATAAGCCGGCTGTGTTGTGTTCTACCTTCTCGAGAGTTCAGGCCGGTGGGCAGAGTCTGGACGAGAGAATTTCACACGTTTCAACCCAAAATATGCCGGAAATGACAGCAGCGGAAGCAAAGCTAGATCCCACAGGTTAGTATATTTTTTTCTAGGTCCGAGCTAGATTACGTAAGTCATAGTTTCCG